CAAATCAGCTTTTCTTTGCTTTTGAAATTAAATCCATGATAATTAATCATGGTAATTGACAATAGCTTACGACCTATATTAAAGCTAAATTATGGTGGATATGGAAGTTATTTATCTAACTTATTTTAAGCATTAACTGGTATTGAATCCAGATTTTGGTTATTCATGCAAATATGATTTTAAATGCTGAATCAAAAGAACCAACACAACCTATTTTGATTTCAGACAGTTTCTCATTATTTTAGCTGAATTGACCAGCATCCTCAGCTGTTCAAATTGATTAGGTGGTTACCTTTTTGGAAAGATTTTTAGGGTAATAGTTAAATAATCCTTTATTGGCAGATGGCCACAGCTAAGTTAATCTACCAGTGGCTCACCTAGTGATGGGGAGGAGCAAGAGTGTGATGGACAGTCCAGAGTCTTGGTCAGATTCCATATGCTCCTGTGAAAATCTAGGTCTTTGATTTTTGTGTGTAGGTTTTGTGTGAATTGACAACCGTACACTTTGCATTATTTTTACATTGTTTCCCTAATAAAGTTCAGTTGTTGATCTACCGCTTCAGTTTTAAGGTCGTGTTAATGTGAAGTACTCTGCAGTGGAAGTGGTTGTTGTCATCATTTGCTGTCCCTCAGGTCAGCGTTTTAAGTTTCTGCTATGAGTCTTAACGTGACAAAAGGGAGCAGATCTAAGTAAAACAGTTTGAGAAGAGGAACAACATAACTTGGCCAATTTATTCCTCTTTTGGAATCGATTGCCTCAATAAAGGAATCATCAGGTTCAGTATTTGCAATTGATTGTAGGACAGGCTATTATCATTGCACATGTTTAACATTGGACTAAAAGAATGTGAGGCCATTGCTCCTGTTTAGTTGGGATTTTTCTAGATATGTAATAGTGTTGGCTGATAACAGGCCAGATGCAACTATTACAGATACAAACCAATCTTAAAAAGATAGTCTGTTATTAACTTGGAGTTTGAATTTAATAAACATGTTCAAATCTGTAATTTACTTCTGATTGCCTTCACTCTGGCAATGGTAATTAGATTTTATTGTTCAAGATCCACCTAAGCAGCAGAACTAAGTTCTTGTGAGTTTTGTGGTATAATGCTTTCGTCCACAAGTATATCTACTCTGAGCAAACTCAAGGCAAAACCTACCAGTGTATCTAAAACTCTTGTGCTTTTTATTTGTGACATTGCAGGCATCACAACTTATCACAGTTGAAATTCATTTGTAAATAAGGAAAGTAACACAATGAGCTTGTTGACTTGCTCGCCGAGCTGGCTTGTTCTCATTCAGATGTTTCATCTGAATTCCTAGAGGCATGGTTCTCCACCCATAATGCAATCAACAAACACCGAATTGGACTCCATATACAAACCTATACAAAGCAAAACCGGAAATGACACTACTTGCCATAACAGACCAGATAGTATAAATTCCGAGCGGAGTAGAATAACATCGCTTCATCTGAGGCTCCACTGATGATCTGACCTAGCATGGTGACAGGACATCTGAACAAAAACAAGCCAGCTCGGCGAGCAAGTCAACAACCTCATCCACAACCCGAGCTACAGATCTTCGCCAAAACTTTAAAAAATAACCCAATGTTTGCTTCTTCAAGAATTTTGCTGTAGAAGGATACAGACCAAGTGGATACAGACCAAGACAGGTAGATGGAGTTAAGATACAGATTAACCATGAAACTGAAAGGTATAAAACTAAAGATGACTGGTCTACTCCTATTCCTATAGCTTGGAGATTGAAATTACTAATATTTGTAATTGGCTCTCCTATTGACCCCAGAAGTTTGAAAGCTATTAGAATTTCCTGGATTTGCCTATAGACACCGACACTTCACTTTAAAACTGTTGCTCCAGGGCTGAACTAAAACAAGCTGGCCCAATCAAATGTGGCTTTATCTTATCGGCAAGCTGTCTTAGCTATGTTTAGCTGGGGGCGGGGGGATGAGATTGTCCTGGGATGTTCTTGTGTTGTGAACCTAGGTGCAGATTTGCCAAACTGTCCGCTGCAGTTGGAGCAAGGTCTGAGGAATATCAAGTAAATCTCTGCAGGGAAAATGTGCCACAGTTCACCTGACCATGAAGTAAGTGGTGGATCCGTTTTAATATGTTACAAATTGAGGCGGCCACGGCTGTACAGGATAGTACAGTTTCTGGATGTACAATGTAATAGCACTAAATAAACACAACACATCCATTCTCAGGATCCACAGTAGGTCATTTTCAGTCTGATTTGAGGAGAAATTTCTTCACCTAAAGCGTGGCGAACCTTTGGACTTCTCTACAGAAGGCAGTGCACACTAAATCACCGAACATACTTAAGAAATGATTTCTCGAAGCTGATGGTGTCAAGGGGTATGGGAGAATATGGCATTGAGATAGACGATCAGCCATACACATGCAGAATGGCAGAGCAGGCATGATGGACCAAATAGCCTAGTCCTGTGTTCTGTGATTCTGAAAGGTCTGAAATGTTGTAAATAAAATATATTTATACTGTAAAGTGTTGAAAGTTGTTTGAATCTGACAGAAAATGCTGAGGATACAAAACTAGCCTGTGACTGTGAGAAGAGGAGATTTGTACTTTTCTTTCTGTTCAGATGCAGATGAAGTGAACCCTTGCTTTATTTCCAGTATTCTAACTTGGTAATTACCTGGCCATTGTCCTACAATGGCACAGTGTTACTCAGGCCTGTCTAGGTGAGACTGTGCATCTTCTGCCCCCAAGAGTCTGAAAGGTTTTTCAAATGTCATGGATTTATGTTGTGTTATATCAAAATAGGATATAGGTCAGGCTCAATGGCACGCTGCTCTCATTGTTAATTTTTAATCATCCCAATAAGAAAATCACTATTACAAAGCTCTGTACTTCCATAATTTTAGGAGACAATTGGCAAAATCAGTATTGTCCCATGGTAGTGTATCCCAGAACAATGGAGAAGTTACCATCCACTCACTACCTTTTCCTTCAGACGAAAGGAAGGACACCAACAATAGTGAAAGGGAGGAAAAGGTAGTAAGCTGGTCGTTTGAAGATGGCTGTAAAGAACATGATGTGCCTCAAAGAATTGAGGGAATAGGTTGAATTGGTACATCATACGTTCCTGCTGACACCTTTATCCAGCTTGTGGGTGTTTAAAATGAACAGTACATGGGCCACAATTCTTTGTTTGACCCAAGCTAGATTACTTCTGCATTGATTTCATTTTTGTTCATGGGATCTTGTTGTCTACAAAATTATTTGCATTTTGGTTTTGATGAGACAAAATATAAATCGCATTATGTTAATGGCATAAATGAAACATTGTATTTGAAGGCTTTGTGAGATGTGATTACGGTCTTTTGTAAACAAAGGTTTTTTTTAGCAAATCAGCAGTCAAAATGATGAATAGCCAAACGTTCCTAAAGCATGTCTTAACTATTTACTTTTTCTCAAACTTTATAGGTGGTAATGGCACCTCATGAAGCATCTGTGGTGTTTGTAGATAATTACATCAAACTCCTGGCTGATTGTAGCACAGACACATTCCAGAAAGTTCTTGACATGAAGGTGAGGTCTTAAAAACATCTTATCTTCCATTATTAACTCCCCGGATTCAATTTTTATAAGACCAGCACTTGCTTACTATCCTTTCAAAAATGTATAAAATGCTTGCTTTTTTAAATACCTCTAGCTAGCTTTCTTTTGTATTCTAATTTTACCCTCCTTATTTATCTTTTGGGTCATTCCTTGCCTTTTTTTTAAATTCTACCCAATTTTCTGACTTGCCATCCTCCTCTGTATGTTTATATACCCTTAAATATTTTCCACTGCATTTCAATTGACCTAATTCCAGTAACTTTATCTAGCTCTGCTTTTATGCCGTCATAGTTGCTCTTATTTAAGATTAAAATAATCGTCTCTGCCTCAAACTGTAAAATTTAGTCGTCATATACCTAGCTGTGAGCAGGAAAGTGGAGTTGAGGATTATCAGATCAGCCATCCTGCTCTTGTGTCTTATGATCTTATGGACTGGCTGTTAAATATTTGTTGGTAGAATGTGCTCAGAAAAGAGAAAAGGAAGGAAAGGAGGAGTAGTATTAGTAACAGAGCAATGTAGTGCTGAGAAAAGAGAATGTCTGAGCGTTAAAGGATGTAGTCAATTTGGGTAGAGCTACAGATTAGATTGCTCGGTGTGCTCTACAGACCAACAACTATTGGGAAGGATGGAGAAGACATTTGCAGGAAATTAATACAGCATTGTCAAGTAGTTATAAATGGGGGACTACAATTACCCATAGATCTTGGCGTGCTGGGAACAATTTCAAAGTTTGCAGATGACACAAGATGAAAGAATTGTCAACTTTGAGGAGGACAATGCAGAAGTCCAAAATGACATAGACAAGTTAATGGAGTGGGCAGATGGGTGGCAGACGAGAAGCTCAATGCAAAGGAAGTGTGAGGTGATGTATTTTGGTAGGAAGGACATTGAAAAAATATAAATTAAGGGGTACAAGTCTAAAGGGGTACAGGAACAGAGGGACCTGGGTATGTTTGAGCGCAGATCATTGAAGGTGGAAGGACAGGTGGAGAAAATGTTAATAAAACAAAGAGCCTCTGATTTTGTATTCTTCATTAAATTGTTCTTAATTTTAATTCTACATTATTTTTACAACCTCCAGCCTTTTCTGTTGATTTACTGTTAGATTTGTAATCTCCTTCTCTTACTGTTATAATCTGTTTATCATTTCCCATAGTAAGACATTTCTCTCTTGCCTTGTTTCTACTCTGCTTTACCACAGCTTTCTAAATTTGATTGCTTATCCCCATCATTTAGTTTTAAAGCTCTATCTACTTCCGTAGTTATGCTAGAATGCTAGTCCCAGTGTGGTTCAAATGTTGACTGTCTCAACAGTACACTCCTGCTTTCCCTAGTACTAATAGCAATGGCTCTGAACTAGAACTCACTTACACCGCACCTGTCTTTCAGACAGAGATTTAAGACTCATTGATGTTCTGTTTAAATCAGTGCCTAGCTCTTTTATGAACTATGGACAACCTCCTTCCTTGTCCTGCCAATGCCATTGATAACTACATGATCCACAACAACTAGATCCTCTTCCTCCTCCCATTCTTCTCCAGTGCTGGGTAGATATCCTGAACCCTGGCACCAGGCAGGCAATACAGCCTTCTAATCTTGTGCTCTTTGCTGAGAACATTATAAATTCCCCTCACTGTAGTGTCTCTAATACACAACATTCTCTTTTTGCTCCCTCTATTTGAATAGCTTCCTGCACCATGGTCAATTAGCTCATCCACCTCGCAGCTTCCACTCTCATTCAAACAAGCAGAAAGAACCTCAAACCTGTGATGATTGATAAGGCTAGACTCTTCCCCTCCTGTCTGCTTACCTGTCTCTCTCTTAGCCACATCCTCCTTTCCCTGGCCAGTGACCAAATCTCAAGATCCTATTCTAAGGGCTGTGACCCCTTTCTGGGTAAAAAGGGTCTAGGTAACCTTTTCCACTCCCATCTGTTGCAGTCTGTAGTTTGGTCTTCAGCTTAAATTCTGAGCCAAAGCTGCTGAAGTTGCAAACACTGCAGATTTGTTTCCCCTGGATCTCATTGATATCCATTGGTGCCCAGATTCTGCAATTGCGGCATACCACCTGTTGCAGCATCTTTATTGCCTCCTTATATTGATTAATATAAAATTGAGTGAGTGGTTATCAAACAGAGTATGATCAATGGATAATTTTCAGGCTTGAGGAAAGCTTGTAGTGGAGATCCTCAGGAGTTGATATTGGGGCCCTTGCTTTTCCTGATGTTTATTAATGATCCAAATTTGGTGTGCAAGGGACAATTTCACAATTTTTAGATGACAACTTGGAAGAATTGTAAACTGTGAGGACAGTGTAGAAGTCCGAAAGGACATTGACAAGTTTGTGGAATGGGTGGATGGGTGGCAGATGAGGTTCAACACTGAAGTATGAAGTAATGCATTTTGATGGAAAAACATTGAAAGGTGATATAAAACAGGAGGTAAAGCCTAAAGTGGGTGCTGGAGCAGAGCGAGCCGTGTATATGTGCATAGACCATTGAAGGTGGCAGGACAGGTACAGAGTTGTTGTTATAGCATAGTGTCCTTGGCTTTATTAATAGAGTCATAGAGTACAAGAGCAGGGAGGTGATGTTGAACTTGTATAAGACACTTGTTAGACCTCAGCTATTGTACACAGTTCTGGGCACCACCCTATAGGAAGAATGTGAATGAATTAGAGAGAGTGCAGAGGCAATTGACAAGCATGATTCCAAGGATGAGGAATTTTGGTTATGAGGATGGATTGGAGAAATTGGGACTGATGTCTTTGGAGAGAAGAAGAATAAGAAGACATCTGAGATGATTTGAAAATCATGAGCAAGGTGGATAGAGTGGAAAAGGAAATACTGTTTCCGCTGCATGAAGGAACAAAAACAGGAGGGCACAGATTTAAAGTGACTTGCAGAAGGAACAAATAAGGTATGAGAGAAATCTTTTTCTCACAGTGAGTAGTTAGGGTATGGAATGCATTGCCTGGAAATGTGGTAGAGGCAGCTTCAATTGGAGCATTCAAGATGGCACTGGACAGTTTTATTTGGATAGAATAATGTACAAAGATTTGGGGGGAAATGCAGGAGATTTAGGACCAAGTGACAGTGCCCATTTGAGGAGCTGGTACAAACTCAATGGGCTGAATAGCCGCCTCATGTGTGGTAATACTTTGTGATAATTAATTATGGTTAATTATTAAATAAATTAATGACACTCCTCACTACCACTCACTGCACTAACTTAAAACTTAGAATCCAATGTATCCTCCCACTTCAGAAGGATATTGGATAAATTTGCACATTAAATTGAAACTTCAGTAATGTGTTCACCTCATCTTGTCCAAGGCAGCATTGAGCAGGAACATGGTGTTAGAATCAATGTCTTGTAACGTTGAGACAAACAGGAAAAACTGTGTTTTAAATTTACTGGAGGTCTGTCCACATCAAGAAGAATAAAACTGGTTGTTTAGTGATGGGACATTTTATCTGACATGGCTCATCCAAATTTACCTTTCTGCCTCAAACGCTGGGCAATTGCAGCCTTCTGCTTTAAGTTTAAGTATCATTTCAGAGGTTCCCTGATCAGAGGGTCATGTTGAAAGAACTAGGTACAGTGGTACAGTGGCTGCCATATTGGTTTAGCAAAAGGTTGAGACTTCAAATCGTTTAAGGGCAAACTGGTGAAGAAGCCATCGAAAGGCACGAGATAACCCTGTAATTGCTGATAAGCTGTGCTGTGCAAATAGCATGTCAATGCAAGTACAATTGTAGATAGTTGAGAATGCATGATGTATAAAGACATGCAGAGGTCAGTCACAGGAACCAAGATGATTGTCAATCATCATGTAGTTATGCTTCCCCCACCATCACCCCAATCCCACAGCTTCTCAGAAGTTGGCCTTCTCTCGATGTTGCTCTTCACCTTTGTCCTTGCCAGCATGCCCATGATCGTAAACTGAAGTGGAAAATCACTGGTGAGAATTTGCATTGTATCATTTAATAGTAGTTTATTGGCACACTGCCCTCTAATTACATCTCCTCAAGTCTGCCATACTCCAATAAAAACAATTCAAGTGGATTTTTAAAAAAAATATTTTATATTTGAAATCATAAAATCATGAGTGACTGAAAATTAAACTCAGCCCTTAATTAGTGAAGTGTACCAAAGAGTACATCTAGTGGCTGAGATACTATATGAGGTGGTTGCAGAGGTGCAGTCATTGAGACTGAGATAACGAACCACCTTAAATAAGGTGTGGAATAATTACATAGAAGATACAGCACAGAAACAGTACATTCAGCCAATAGGTCTGTCATTGTTTATGCTCCACATGTCTCCTCCCGCCATTCTTCATCTAACCTCGTCAGCACAATCGACTACTCCATCCCACTTTATCTTCCTCCAGCTTGACCTGATGCTTCGGTACTATTCCTATCAGCTTCTAATTTTTTTTTGTCAGAACAAATCTAAGTGTAACTAAATGGTCTACTTGTAAATCTACTTGTTATTTTGCTACAATTCCCTGTTTTTGGTGTTGCAGGGTCTGAAGCGCAGTGAACAAAGCAGCATGCTGGAACTATTCCGACAGAGGCTACCCACTCCTCCTTCAGGCGGAGAGAACAATTTAACAACGTCGCTATCTGCACCGTCCCCCGAACAAGAATCTTCCAGGATCCGTAAACTGGAAAAACTCATAAAGAAGAGGCTGTAAATGAAGCTCAAAAGCTGCACAGATCAGGCTTTATGAGATAACTGCTGTTTCCGGTTGGGAAACTGACATAGGACCTTTTCCCTTCTCCTTGTGTCTCATCCTCGTTATCTTGCCCCTCCCCAGCCCAGCCCAGCCCCCAATATACCCAAGCACCAACTCCTCTTTCCTGTTCGTCCTTGTCTGTGTCACAGGGGCAGCAGCCATCCTGTTTGTCTAGTTTCTGTTCCTGGAGATGTGAATTCACCATTGCAATTAGAGTAACCTTTCCAGCTGAGGAAATCTCCAACTGACCAGAATAGAGACTGTCACCAACTGCTCATTGTCCACCTTGTGTTCTGTTGTTCTGGGTTTGAGTCAGAATTTTGAGTTGCCTGAGCAGTTTCATGTTCTGACATTGCACAAGAGATTCAAAATTCACACAAATGTACATAAAATTACAATTGGTGAGTTTTACTGTTGCTGGTATTTTGCACAAAGGATAGCTTTGTGTTCGTAATGGGCTGAATGCAGGCACGGAGTTGCAGTGAACCAAGAGTTTGATGCAGTGGACCCCGTCAGTAGTTGGCTGGAACTATAAAGACAGTGCCCACAGCTCTTCATGAATTAACACAGTCCGTTCTATCAGAATTGCAAAGGTCCCCCCATTCTGAATACATGCTTGACCAACTGGAAATTGTGTATAAATACTGATCACTGAGGTTCTGAAACCCAAATTGTTTAACTGACCAATACAATTTCATTTTTTTTCAAAGGAAAGACTACATTCAACATGTTCAGTGTTTAGGTTCTGTAACATCCTAGAGTGTATTTTCTGAAATGCAGTCCAGAAATTTCCAGACTACTACCAGGACTTTTGAGTACAGTAACCATTTAAGGGCCAGAATGCAAACTCTCTCCAATGCCATTACTGTCTGTAGTCCCAGAAATCCAAAAATGGGCCACTTATTATAACTGTAGTGTAATTACATATATTTTTAACTCTGAAAAGGCAATATTAGATACTTATAAAATATAGTTGACGCTTACAAAATCCTCAAGCTCTTTAAATGAATTAAAAAGAATTAGGGCAGAACAGTAATTCAAGTAGCTGAATGTTTGATTCGCAAGTGGAGAATCAAGAGTTTGTGTGCTAACTTAGTCTCTGAATTTAATGTTGAAGTTGATGTCAGTATTTGCTTATACAGAAAATAAAATCTCTTACAGAAGGGCATGTGAGAGAAGGACAGTTCAAATTATCTAATTCACAGATAATGCTTATCTGGCTGACGCATAAAAGGATGAAGGGACACTGAGAATGAGAACACTTCTTTTTCACTCTGTCTTGGGTTTGATCTTGAGTAATGCTCACATTGAAAGACCTCAGCAACTAGAAGAGTTACAAGTAATGTAAATTTGAAAGTCTCAAACCAGTTCCAAATAAATAGGTCCCCATAACATAAACTGCCCCACAGCATTAAGTGATAGAAAAATTGTAATTCTCATCAGTCTAGTATTGAAATAGATCTGAAACTTGCTGTTGGGAGAGAATAGTGAGAAGTGTATCTTGTATAAAACCCATACTCAGTCTGATCTGAGAAAAACTGTTGTTGATGCCAATGCTGGTTTCAAAATAGTGAGGAGATTTTAAATTTCCTGAGCAGTTCATTTCTATTACTTCGAGAGCAGAAGCTGTTAAATATACCACACCCCTACCACCATAACACAAATACTTACAAGCAGGACTTTCTGTTATAGGGGGAAGAGAGGCTGTTTTTGAAACTGCAAGATTGCATTTTCTAGCATTTCTGTAAATAAAAAAATTCTCCTGTATTCCTCATGGAATGCATAATGCAGTACTGTTGTCAGAACAATTTTACTTGTATTGACATGTATAGGCTACAATTATTCAAAGTAACTTTATACAAATTATCTGAGTTCAATGTGTTTGCACTACATTCTGACACTCAACTTGAATTATCTAGCACAAAAAATTGATTTGAATTATTAAATAGACTGTAATCCCCTTGGAACTGCTCAGTGTTAAACTTGAACAGTCATTGTCAATTCATGCAATAGACTTTAAAGTTTTGGGGATATAATAAATTTTTTTTTTTTTTAAAATTGCCAATGCACATTATTTTAAACCTGGAAAAAGATTACCAGTAACTTCTCTCTCCGTTGCACTCTATCACACTGAAAAATATACCTAATGGGGTCAACATTGTTTCAAGTTTATATGCTACTTTATTCTTTCTCTGTCTTGTGAAGGCACTAATGCTGGTTGGGTACAGTTTCAGAAACATATACAGCCCGTCAGTACCTTATTCAGGTGTACCGTTCCAGATAGTGAATGTTTGTAGGTTGCTCTACCGTAGGGACCAGTACAGTCCAGTACCTCCCTATCATTATTCTCTTTTTTTTGTCTTTCATCTTACATCCAGGAGACACCTGGGTAGCAATGGGGAATGGAACCTTTGAGATGTCTTATTCCTCTCCTCATCTCTCCCCACCCCCACTTTTGATCTTGTGCCCAGTTATAGTGGCCCAACTGTGAATCTGTTAAGCAGAACGAATTCACCTAAATAGAACCCAATTCAAGAAAGCTAAATACGATCAGCATAATTCTTCTGCATCAATTGGAGAAAGTACTTGTGTTAAAAATTCAGATTTTAATAAAATAATTATCAACACAAGACACTTGAATGAAGTAAATTCAGTAACTCACTTCACAAAGTATATCTTTGGATGCAGACTGTTCTGGGATGTCAATAATGAAAGAGTAAAACAGGTTCTTTTTGCTGAACAGATCTGTCAAACACCTATTGTATGCAGCTTTCAACCATTTGCCTTTGAGACTTGAGTAAAATATTTTTGTTCCTTTGCACAAGAGTAAGAAACACGCCACTTTAAAGAAGTGCATTAAAGCTATGTAGGTGGCCATTTGATATTTGTGAGGAAACCTGACACCATCCACTATAACATTGTGCAAGGCATTGGTGGCCAGTACCCGGAAAGGCTATGGGATTGCAAGCTATAACCTAAGCTTTGTTTTCACAGCCAGGTCCAAAGTAAAAACATTGGAATTGAGGGAGATATTCACAACCCAAAAGAAAGCAAAAACCGTGGTAAACCAATGTTTAGAGAGAGCAGTCTTGATACTTGGCTACATTATTATTGTCTTTTACACTGGCTGTGATTGGAGAAACAATGTCCATTTTGTTTTGTGTCCCAGTGTGAATGAAAGGCCTTACAAGCAACAGTTTATCCAGGAATGCCTTTTCTTAATTTTCCCTGGTTTGTGTAGCACTAAGTTTATTTAAATCCGGGTTCTTCCACTAGACTTTATATATTTGATTTCAGGATGTAAATTTTCTGTTACTTATTTCTGGTTTATGTCCAGTTTCACGGTTTCTAACATGGGTATGCAAGTCAGAAATGCAGAACAGTTTAAACTTTGTATGATGCTGTTTTGAGCCTGTGGTGTATTTTTGGGAGATAACTGCACTGTTGGAACTGTTTGCATATTATTTCATCACGTAGGCCAGTAAAGATATATTTATCTCATTTTGTCAGTGTTTATTTGTGTTGGTGTGATATTTAGGGTTGTCAACTAACTGATTATAATTCATTTTAATTTTAATACAAACAACCTGAAATATAAATAATTGATTTAATCAACTAAAGCAGCCAAAGGGGAAAAAAGGAGTGATTGTACAGTGTTGATTTGTGTCCAGAGCCTATTGTTGAGAACACTGCCACAAAACACTATCACCTTGAACTTATACCATGTGACACTTGCATGCAAAGTATTTGATCCCTCTGCATTGTGTTTCTTTACTTGTTACTTCAATAGTAGGGTCTTATCTGTTCGCTTTAATTGTTAAAGCTTTGTAAGATTGCATGCAAATGAATGTCATATGAAGGTCCCATTCAACTATGGCATAATGTTATTTTAAGGTTGTTGATCTTTGGTCTATAAATTCATTGTTGCAGGCCCTTAAGCAAGTAAACTTTGGGGGATGATTATAATTAATTCCACATGACTGAAACTACATTGAATTTTTGGCATAACCCAAATTGTGTTTTGGTTAACTCATGATTCTAAAATAGAGAATGGTTACAGTCAATTGTCCATCCATGTCCAGCTTGATGACTTTGCATAACTTTTATTTTAGGGTTAAGGTTTGCAACTTGAAGTAATCTGATTATGCCTGATTGCTGATATATTGTACAAGCATTCCATGCCAAAAAGGACATATGCCTGATTCTGTATTGACTGTTTGTTGAACTCAACCAAGTCAGCATTTGGGTACAAGTGCCCAACCATGTAACAGAAAAATCAACCAGAGCGCACACTCCTGATGGCTAGGCACAACCTGTCCAGAAAGAGCTGTGCTTCTGTGTGTGCATGAGAGAATGTCCAACTCGGGACTGCATCACGTCTGATCAAGATGCTCTGATGCTCACAACCTAGGTCACTTGGGTGAGGTACCAGAGAGCTGTTGTCACCTATTAAGCTGTACCGCAGCAAAAGTGTGCACCTCCACAAGAAAAGATTTTTTTTAAAAGTTGCATCTTTTATGAAAGGTTTGAATTTATATACAGTAGTTGGAAGTAACAAATCGGAGAAGATGTGATGTATTTATTTTGATTTAATGGACTTTTATTTAATTGTCATTCTGGATAAATGTAAAACAGTAAGAGACTAAAACTTGTGTAATACTGTCTTGTAAATGGACCGTGTCTTAATCAACCTGTTAAATACATTTTAAATAAAAAGACATGACTATAATATCATAATTCCGCCAACACTTACATTAAAATAATGAAAAGACAGCTAAATCTCCTATTTCGCATGAAGTGCATGTTTAGTGACTATTTAGCTACATTATCTTTTTCCTTTGCAAGGTGAAATTCCAGTTCCTAGTCTGAATTATGGCTGAACACCACTGCTAGTGAGTTAGAACATGAGTTACTGCTAGTTGTTAAATCCGAATCTGCAAAGAAGGAAAGGGCACTGTGAATGTGATGTGAAAAGCAAAGGCCCATTTTATATAAATATGTGGGTGAGTATATTGAAGGGCTATGGAGAGCAGGCAGGGTTATGAATAGCATCAAAGACTAAAGACACCATACTGACCGTAAACAGGACTAATATGCTATACAGAATCCTGTGGACAAATGAGGAAATTGATGACCAGGATACATGAACACCAGCTGGCAATAAAAAGACACGACCAATATTTGCTTGTGTCGATTATACATAGACAATGAAGGCCATTAGTTCAACTGGGACAAACAAACAACAGACATGCAAGGGAATTTCTGGATGCCTGGTTCTCAACATGGGACTCCATTAACAAACACACAGAATTAGACCCCGTATACAGTATGCGGCTGAAAAACAGAACTGGAAGTGACACGATCCATCACACCAGAGGATCATGCAAGTTCGGAAGGGAGCAGAACACCAATGCTTCGATTAGAGGTCACACTGATGATATTGCCTAGAAGGGTAATGAAATGTCTGCACACCACAGAACAACCGGCTTGGCAAGCTAACGAACAACCGCATCCACAACCTGAGCGAAGTCCTTTAAAAACAAGTGCCATAATTCCCAAACTGTAGCCTACTTAGCAAGCAATGCTGTTCATCAGGAATGAGATTTCAAAATATTGTCTGAATGTCTTACTGAAAATTTGTTTGAACATCTTCATGATGTCAAATAAAACTTCAGATTCAAGAATGGGGAAAATTGCACCTTGTTTGATGGACAAAGTCTTGTTCTTCAAATGTTCATTTTAGATCTTTCCAAACTGACCACTGGAAAAGCAGTTCAGAACTTGACAAGCAATGTCACTATTTGCATGGCACTTGCCTGCATGATGGCTGCTTAAATGGTGCCTTAAAAACTAGGCTAAAGATGGTCTTTTTCTCCAGTTGTGATGCATATCAAAGCTTAGGTAGCTACATTCATCTATGTTTAAGTTGCTAGCTCTAAATTTCCTTCCACATCTCACACTGTCCTACCTTGCACATGTTCTGCTGCTCGTGTGGAGTCAATATATCTATCATAATCATAAGTCAATATTCAGATACTCCTTCCTTAACACAAGAAGCCTGGCACTGGATAAGCAAAGGCGCCAACTCCCCATAACATCCCACTTAAGCTCCAGAAGTACCTTTGCCTCTTGGCAAGTTGGTTCCATGATGTTATCTACCCCGTTGCGGTGGACAATTGCTGCCTACAAAATCTAGGTCAAATCCAGTCAGGTTAATTACTTTCCGATCAAAACACTGACCTGAGCGAAGTGATGGGCGGTGTCTTCAACAGTCCTGTTGAGGGTGACTTGGCCACAAATAACCTTCTTGCTGATGCTCAGTTTTAGTTATGTCAGGTCCAACTGGTTCTAAGTGTGAAGAAAATAGATGAATTACAGATGTGAGGGGAACTGACTGTCCTTGAAGTCAATGTACTTTTGTTTAAATTTGCTCCTGGGATGTGGGTGTCTCTGGCTCGGCCAGCATTTATTGCCATCATTAATTGCCCAGAGAGTTCTTAAAGAGGCAACCACACAGCATTAAGAAAATACAGTATAAAAATCTCCACTTGCTGGAGTCTTATCCAAAACAGAGGAGGGTAGATGTTGGAGGTCAATTATCTCAGCCCAAGGAAATTGATGCAGGAATCCTGTAGGTAGTGTTTTAGACCTACCCATCATAGCTATTGGAACGATGACCTCCTTACATCACAAGATCAGTGTGGGGATATTTGCTTATCTCACAGTGTACAGCTCTATTTGCAACTGTTCAGATATTGATGCAGTCTGTACTAGGATAAAGTCAGAAGTTACACAACACCAGGTTATAGTCCAACACGTTTATTTGAAATCACAAGCTTTCAGAATGCTGCCCCTTCGTCAGGTGAAGCGAAGACACACAGGCACAGAATTTATAATCAGAGATATCAAAAGATCATACAAATCGTGTGAGGAGTGTCGACAGGCCAAATAATAAGTCTCTGCAGGTGATTAAGAGTGTCAGACTGTGTGAGGAAAGTGTTAATGGCTGAATAACAAGTGAAGGGGTGACCTGTACTCTGATCAATTCAGATATGGATACTACCATCACACATGGAAACATCACCCACCACGTACACAGCAGAAATTCATGTGACTTGGCCAACGTTGTCTACCTCATATACTACAGGAAAGGATGCCCCGAGTCATGGTATATTGGCAAGACCATGCAGACGTGACAACAATCACCAGACAGGAATGTTCACTTCCAGATGGGGAACACTTCAGCGGTCAAGGACATTCAGCCTCCAATCTTTGGGTAAGCGTCCTCCAAGGTGGCCTTTGAGATAGACAGCAACGCAGAGTCGCCAAGCAGAGACTGATAGCCAAGCTCCATACCCATGAAGACAGCCTCAACCGCGATCTTGGGTTCATGTTGCATTACATGTAACCCCACCATACTGTTCTATATTTGTAAAATCTTCCTTACAGCCCTGTTTTGACACATCACCTTGATAACTATGATCTCTCTACCTTAATTAGTTTGTACAGTTTTGGATTACTTGTTACTTTAATTAGACCCTCAGCATGCGACTCTTATACCTATCATGTTATTCCAGCCATTTGATTTGTCTCTAGCACTACCTTATTTTTAATTTTTTGTTATTATCCCTGCTTTAATTAATTGGGTTACAGCTCATCCCTCCATTTGTTGTTCAGCTGTTAACACTTTACCCACACAGTCTGACACTCTTGATCGCCTGCAGAGATTTATTATTCGGCCTGTTGACACTCCACTCACACCCTTTATATGATCTTTTGATCTCTCTGATTATAAAGTCCGTGCCTGTGTGTCTTCTCTTCACTTCAGTGATGAAGGGGCAGCATTCTGAAAGCTTGTGATTTCAAATAAACCTGTTGGACTATAACCTGGTGTTGTGTGACTTTTACATAAGAACTAGGAGCAGGAGTAGGCCGTCTGGCCCTTCGAGCCTGCTCCGCCATTCAATAAGATCATGGCTGATCCTTTCATGGACTCAGATCCACTTACCCGCGTTCTCACCGTATCCCTTAATTCCTTTATTGTTCAAAAAAAATCTACCTTTTTAAAAACATTTACTGAAGTAGTGTCAACTACTTCACTGGGCAAGGAATTCCATAGATTAACAACCCTCTGGGTGAAGAAATTCCTTCTCAGTTCAGTCCTAAATCTGCTCCGTCTAATCTTGAGGCTATGCCTTCTTGTCCTAGCTTCACCTGCCAGTGGAAACATCCTCTCTACTTCTATCTTATCTATTCCCTTCATAATTTAATATGTTTCTATAAGATCCCCCCTCAATCTTCTGAATTCCAATGAATACAATCCCAATCTACTCAGTCTCTCCTCATAAGCTAACCCCCTCAACTCCGGAATCAACCTAGTGAACCTCCTTTGCACCCCCTCCAGTGCCAGTACATCCTTTCTCAAGTAAGGAGACCAAAACTGCACACAGTACTCCAGGTGTGGCCTCACCAGCACCTTGTACAGCTGCAACATAACCTCT